GCTCAAAAAGACATCTAATAGCCCTACATTCTGCCACCTCCCAAAGTCTCAAAAGTGCCTGTGAAAATCTCTCCAGAAAAGCCATTCTGAATCTACAAACCTGCTGGTGATTCTTTCAGATCCTGATTGATTATTTCTAGGTTCTTAAAATAATAGACAAAAGGAAGTAAAATAATTTTTATGGTACATGATACTGTGTCACATTAAATATAGTTGTTAATGTGTTTTCCTACTCTAAATCATTTTGCAAACTATAGATGGTATATATTATTGTCATTTTGATGTAATGTTGACAGAAATATCTTCCCATTATGTCATTTTTATGGAAAAGAGTGACTCATAGCCTTTTTCCTAGAAGAATAACCCACTGTTAGTAGGAAGGTGATAAAATGCAAGTCAGAGGAGTGAAGAACTGTAAATCCTAACAGGGAAACAAATGAAACATTTGTCATTACAAGGATAGTGACATTTCTAGAAAGTTTCTTGGAGATGAGATTTACAAGTCCGTGCTTAACCAAGGAAAAAAATGTGTAACATAATTTTAAAAATATTATACTGGTGACCTATGCATGTCAGCTGTGGCGAGAAGGAAAGAAGGGTACCGTCTCTGTCCCTCACCTTTCAGAGCCCTGGAAATCACGGCACATGTGAGAAAGAAAGGCCTCTGGTCCTCTAGGTGAGCCACGAATTTTTTTTTTTTTTTTTTTGAGATGGAGTCTTGCTCTGTCGCCCAGACTGGAGTGCAGTGGCACAGTCTCAGCTCACTGCAATCTCCACCACCCGGGTTCAAGTGATTCTTGTGCCTCAGCCTCCCAAGTAGCTGGGACTACAGACAACTGCCACTATGCCTGGCTAATTTTCGTATTTTGAGTACAGACGGGTTTTCACTATGTTGGCCAGACTGGTCTTTAACTCCTCAACTCAAGTAATCCACCCTCCTCGGCCTCCAAAAGTGCTGGGATTATAGGTGTGAGCCACCACGTCTGGCTTGAGTTCTCCTGAAAGCTAAAATGAAAGTTCTTTTCCCTGCTCCCACTTCCTGTGATACTAGGCAAGTCACTTCACTTTCCTTAGCGGGTCTGTTTCTTCATCTCTAAAATTGTAGATGGGGCACACAATCTGAGGGTTCCCTTCAACTCTGAAATTCCATGATGCAAAAATAATGGATGAGAAGTCTTCTGGGGGAAGTCTAGAGCATCACACAGAGGTCAGCCTTCCTCAAGTACAAGTGGCACCCCCTAGACTTTTCCTGCTACCTAGTGGCTGACGTACGTGTGTCCCTGCATTGAGGGGAACTCCAGAACCTTCGTTTCTTTTCTCTCTCTCTCTTTTTTTGAGATGGAGTCTCGCTCTGTCGCACAGGCTGGAGTGCAGTTGCGCAATCTCAGCTCACTACAACCTCCGCCCCCTGGGTTCAAGTGATTCTCCTGCCTCAGCCTCCTGAGTAGCTGGGATTACAGATGTGTGTCATCACTCCCAGTTAAGTTTCGTATTTTTAGTAGAGACGGGGTTTCGCCATGTTGGCCAGGCTGGTCTCGAACTTCCGACCTCAGGTGATCTGCCTGCCTTGGCCTCCCAAAGTGTTAGGATTACAGGCATGAGCCACTGCGCCGGCCAAAGCCTTCATTTCTAATGATTTTGAGGTAATCTCATTACTCAGCTGTCGTTGCTGTGGAAACATCTCTCACAATAACATCTCGGCTACTAAACGTTTTCAGCAGCCTAGAGGCATGTCGCAGTGCCATGGAAGACACTTAGTTACTCCCAAACCAAACCCCACATTATTTTCTACTCATCTCAAGCCAAGTCTTGTTTCCTTATTTCTGTTGTGGAGTTAGTTCTGGTCTACTCTCTGCTTCAGAACCCTTTGTCCTCTTTTCTTTGCATTTTGTAACTGCCACGAAGTACCACTGATTTAGTCTTCTAAATTTGTTCCCCCTCATTCCTACTCTAACAGTCCTACCCAGGGCCGCATTCCAGCTACTCCTCCACCAACAGCTATCTTGTCTTCTCAGCTTCAGTTCATTTTGCACATTCATCTCAGATTAAGACTCCCCAAATGTCTTACCCCGTGGCTATCCCACTGTTTATCACAAACTTGTGTGTGTGTGTGTGAGGTTTTCTATGACTTCTGACCCTAGCAAGTTTGTATCTACTATTATTCACTAGCGCCTCCTCTATTTTAAAATTTATTCACTCTACATGTGAGCATTGCCTCCAGCTCTCCTCCATACTGCAATGTTCTTCCTTTTCTTCTGAGCCATCTGCAAGACACATCTCCAAGGTCCAGCTCTCACAATCTGTGATGAGCCTTTCCTAATCCAGTATGTATATCTTTGTACAGAGTTCTTTGCTGTATCTTTAAAATATCTAAATAAATATGAAATCATTCTATTTTGTCTTATTCATCAATCTAAGAATTGATAGTTGAATGTTCCCAACATGTACTTTCATCTCTTTGCTAAAATATATATTAAGTTCTTTGTGGTGAGGAAACTGGCCACTAGAAAGGGCTTTCAAATGTGCAAATCTCTTGTCATGAGCTAAGAAAAACTCTTTAATATCCCCCCAAGCCATGGGCACATAGCTCACAGAATGAATAGAGGAAATGTTCAGCCTCAATAGTTAAGACATTAGAAGACTTAAGATACCATTCTTCATCTATTAAAGAACCACAATAGGAGCTGTGAGGGTACACAGAAATAGGCAGTCTCAGCCCTCCAGAAGGAAAATCAGTTGCTACCACCTTCTGGAGGATATAGTAGGAAAAAGCTTTAAAAAGTTAATATGCTTTGACCCATGAATTCCACTTCCAGAGATGCATCCTAAGGAAATACAACACACATATAAACAGTGTTGAAGGTGTTCATCAAGGTGTTAAAGAATAGGATAGTAGGTGATATGGTTTGGCTCTGTGTCCCCACCCAAATCTCATCTCAAACTGTAATTCCCAAGTGTCAAGGGAGGTGATTGGATCATAAGGGTGGTTTCCCCCATGCTTCTCATGGTTCTCATGACAGTGAGGGAGTTCTCACAAGATCTGATGGTTTTATAAGTGGTGGTTTCCCCTTCTCTCTCTCTCTCTCTCTCACTCTCTCTTTCTCTAACCTGCCACCATATAAGAGGGCTTGCTTCCCCTTCTGTCATGATTGTAAGTTTCCTGAGGCCTCCCCAGCCATGTGGAACTGTGAGTCAATTAAAAGTCTTTTCTTTATAAATTACCCAGTCTTGGGTATTTCTTTATAGCAGTGTGAAAGCTAATACAGTAGGTAAATAACTTGTGATCCACTTGTACAATGCAATACCATGTGGTCATTAAAATTAATAGTTGTATGCCTTGTTTTTTTAAATTGGCCCATGCCCCTTTCTTGTATCGGCATCCTAATTCTCCTCTGGGGATCCATTCTTCCCCTATGCCCCAACCAGTCCATGTTGTTTGAATGGGTGTTTTAGTTTGGGTTCCCTAGAGAAACAGATCCTGAGATGGAAATTTTCATGCAGAAAGTTTATGGGGAATATCCTTGAAACCAATACTTGTCGGGGAGTCCAGGAAGTGGGGATTGGGCAGAGGGAGGAGTTGACCTGTGATGAACCGCCATAAAGGCCTGATTATTCTAGCAAGAGCTCTGGAGCTAGAATAATCCTTCAATGTTGTCCCAACTTAAGGCAAAAGGTTGGGGTTCAGCCCTTATATAAACACTCCACATCAGTCACTGGATGAGGGCTGACACTGGGAGGGGTATGACCTTGGTATGGGTGGCTCTCTGGATAAGGTTAGTTCACAGAGAGGACTCAGCTGAGAGGCATCAGTGCCACCACTCCCAGGAGTTGAGGGTATGAGTGTCTCAGTCTTGAAAGGGGGATTTGGGTGGTGCCTCTCAGCACCCACTATATGTGGAGCTGATCTAGCCCCACCCTCTGCTGTTGGCCCAGGCACAGCTAATCTGAGCATTTCAATGCCACACATCCTTGCCTTCAAATAGTAATTAGGCCAGGGGCGGGCTCATGACTCAATACCAGCCAGCGAGGTTCATTATGGGGATTTCTGCTGGAACAATTAGAAAGAAAAGAGATACTTTTGTTCCTGGATTTGCTAGATGGGGACAGTGAAAGTGTGGCGCCTTCCTTCATACCACTAGAGAGTCATTTACCACCAAGGAAAATGAGGCCAATCTCAGAAAAAGCAGAGTCAAAAGATGGAGGATGCGAGCCCTAAAATTATTACTTGGGTATTTGAATTCACTAGTTTAAAGTCCTTGGACTTTTCAGTCACACAAGCCAATATATTACCTTTTGCATTGTTCAGTTTAAATGAGTTCTGACAAATACAATGGTGTGCAAGAATTCTTAATGACATATTCATGGCACAAGGAAAAAAGCAACACAAAAAATTTACATATTGTAATGATCCCAGTTTTGTAAAACATTTATTTAAAAAATGCAGCAGGCCTATAATGTCAGCACTTTAGGAGGCTGAGGCAGGAGTATCACCTGAGCCTAGGAGTTCAACACCAGCCTGGCCAACATGGTGAAACCCCGTCTCTACTAAAAATACAAAAATTAGCAGGGCATGGTGCTGCATATCTGTAGTCCCAGCTACTCAGGATGCTGAGGCAGGAGGATCACCTGGGCCCAGAAAGTGGAAGCTGCAGGGAGCCGTGATCATGCCACTGCACTCCATCCCGGGTGACTGAGAAAGACCCTCAAAAAAAAAGAAGAAAAAAGCAGCAGAATAGAAACAATGGTGATAGTTAAATGGTGAGATGAGAGTGAGAGACGCTGAATGTAATTTTGTACTGTATGTATCCCAGATGTCAGGGTCTGGGATTTTACCCAATTTACCATACTCACTCCACCCAATCAACTGGTAGGATCTCCGTGAAACAGTAACAGGCTCACTTAGACATCGATTGCTGCCCCATGAAAATCCTATGAACCGTCCTTGGTTCCCCGAGGATACTGTCTGGCAAGGCCCCTTATTTCTCCAACTCCTGTCATACCTTGGCTCCAGTTCTGACTTCTAAGGGGTGCGTGTTTCCTGCCGCCCACGCCATCCTCGCGTCCCACGCCTTCGCTATTCCTGCTCATGCTAGGGGCGCCAGCTTCGCTGGAAGACGCCCCGCTTTGCTGGTCCCCGACTCGGTTCCAGGTCCGGTTGCAGATGCCACCCAGGTTTCGAGCGCTGAGGAGCAGAGAGCAAGGCCTCTGCTCGGGCCCCGCTGTCTCTAGCCTGCGGCTCCGCGCCGGGTGTGCCGGGGCGACTGGGCGGGCACAGAGGCTTCCCCGCCCCGGGGCGGTGCCCTCGCTCGAGGCTGGTGGCTCCTCCCCTCCCGGCCGGGCCCAACAGCCCTCGGAGCTCAGCGCCGCCGCCATGTCCTCCGGTGCCAGCGCGAACGCCCTGCAGCGCCTTGTGGAGCAGCTCAAGCTGGAGGCCGCGGTGGAGAGGATCAAGGTGCGGGATCCGGGGACCCACACTCCGGTGCCTCCGCCCGCGGGGTGGTGAGAGGAGGAGGCCGGGGGCCCGGGCCGGGCGCCAGCTGGGGGACGCGGGGGCAGCGGCGAGGCCTCGGCGGGGTCTGGGGGCGGCGGGGGTGGCGGGGAGGGGGTGCGCAGGGCGAGCCGGGGCCGGGCCCTACGGGAGGAGTCCGCGCCTGGGGAGGCCGCGCGGTCGTGGTCTGGGCCGGGTCCCCTGGGGCGCGCCCACGCCCACTCCAGAAGGCGGCCGCGGTCAGATCCTCGGAGGGCGCCCGGGCGGCCGGCGACTCGCGGGCCGGGAGGAGGGACCCAGGGCTGGGAAGGCCACCGCAGGGCCACGACTTGGTGATGGATTGGCAGGATGAGAGCGAGAGGGAGGAGAGCCAGGATGCTAAGGTTTCTGTCGTCGTGACGGGGTGGACGGCCCTGCCACCCGCCAAGGTAGAGAGGAGAGGGGACAGGATGAGTTCGGCTGCGGACCTGGGGACTCCAGGGAACCACCGGGAGGGATTTGTCCTCATGGCCTGAAACAGCGCGCAGGGCTGAAAGAGATCATTCAAGTGCAGGGAGGCGAAAAAGCCTCTTTTATGAAGAGCAGAGCCCAGAGCCTGGGACCCAGGGACCAGCCACACCGATGGCGGAGAGAAGAGGAAGTAAGAGACAGCAAGGTTGCTGAGCAAGGAAGGGGGAATTTCCAAAAACTGGGGCTCAGTCAACATGTCCAGCGTTAGTTAGTGGGCCAAAAGGCGTCTGTTGCAGAGCTGTGGTTAGCAACCAGTGCAGCATAATTTGCAGAAGGTCTGTAGGAAGGAATATACCCGGGGTAGTCCCTGTGCCTCAGCGGCGCCTTTGCTGTGTGCCTGGCACTGCTACAGGGAATAGGGTGGTTCTGGATGGGAAGGTAAACAGCAAATTAACAGATACATAGCATTGCTTCACATACTAAGTGGAGTGAAGATTATAAACAGGGTAAGGGAGAGAGGGCGTAGAACGTAGAGGTTTGGTTGCTTATGTGTTAGTAAAAGCAGAATCTGGACTGTCACAGGGCAGGCGGACTTTTTTCTTCTTCTTTTTAAAGAGATCTAGTTTTAAAGAAGAAATAACGTGTTTTTTTAACTTAAGAAATGAAAAGCCATGTTTTGGGGTTGAGAGGAAGGAACAAATTATATTTTTAGGTTCCAATGAAGAAACAAATGGAAGCCAATTGCTGGTAGAGGAGACAGGGCTACGGGAGGCGGGGGACTGGTGGTGCAGCTTCTGAGACAGGAATAAAGAAGGTAAAGATGCGCGTAAAGATACAGTATGTTTCTGGATATGGGCTTAAAGACTTGTGACAATTTTCTTTGTGAAATAGGAGGCCACATTTTCTTCTAAGGCAGAGGAAATGGGACTAAGGGAGTGGCCCTAAGCAGGCAGGTAGATGCGCGGTGACTCTGAAGACCAAGCTGCTGTGAGAAGGGAGACTGCTGGTCATATTTGCTGGTCACATTTCTCAAAAGAGACTCCAGCAACCTTTGGCCATCCTGGAATGTGAGTGCCGAAGGTGAATGGTAGTTGATGGAGGAGTGAGTTAGCAGGAGAGGTATATCAGAAAGGTGGAGATGGGGCGGGAGGGCAAGGCGTGTCAAAGTCTGGCCAGAAAGGGGCTGAGCCTAGGTGGGTAGAGAAGGAACGGAGCCAGCCTCCTGGTGATGAGTGAAACAGAAGGGGAGGGGGTGACACCTGGAGATCCTGGTGAGGTCAGAGGAGAATAAAGGAAGAATAAAGGAGGCAGCACCCTGGATGGGAAGGAGAGATTGTGATCAGAGAGTAGGAGACTGGGGTGTAAAATTTCAGAAGTGGAGCAGTTACAGGTGTTGTAACTGTATCTGTTGGCATTGAGGAGAAGGCTGTTTGGGGAGAGGAAGTCAGGGAACTGAAACCAGGGTTGTTGGAAATTCACAAAGACAATGTGGGGACCTGAGGTGGAAAGTAAAACTCTGAGCCAGTCAAATGTCTGCCTACCTGCCAAGTAGCTAGGAAAAAAAAATATATGTATATATATATATATATTTAAAATATATATATATAATATATATAATGCAATATATATTATATATAATATTATATATTATATATATTATACATAATATATATAATATTATGTATAATATATATT